TATTTGTAGTGTCCGTAGTGTCTGTAGTGTCCGTAGTCTCTGTAGTGTCAGTAGTGTCCTTCGTGTCTGTGGCATCAGTAGTGTCCATAGTGTCCTGTAGTGTCTGTAGTGTCTGTAGTGTAGTGTCCGTAGTGTCCGTAGTGTCCGTAGTGTCCGTAGTGTCTGTAGTGTCCGTAGCGTCCGTAGCGTCTGTAGCATCTGTAGTGTCCGTAGCGTCAGTAGTGCCAGTAGTGTCAGTCGTGTCTGTAGTGTCCGTTGCGTCCGTAGCGTCAGTAGTGTCAGTAGTCTCCGTAGCGTCAGTAGTGTCTGTAGTGTCTGTAGTGTCTGTTGCGTCCGTAGCGTCAGTAGTGTCAGTAGTCTCCGTAGCGTCAGTAGTGTCAGTAGTGTCAGTAGTCTCCGTAGTCTCCGTAGCGTCTGTAGCATCTGTAGTGTCCGTAGTGTCAGTAGTCTCCGTAGCGTCAGTAGTGTCAGTAGTCAGTCGTGTCTGTAGTGTCTGTAGCGTCTGTAGCGTCAGTAGTGTCCGTAGCGTCAGTAGTGTCCGTAGCGTCAGTAGTGTCAGTAGCATCAGTCGTGTCTGTAGTGACCTCGGAGACCTCAGACCTGCACCCGTCTGGGCCTAAATCCTTCTGTCTGTGAAACGACCGGGTTCTCGGCGTTTGACCCGCGTTTGGGCGCAGCTCCGAGTCGCTCGCCCACGACACGATGAGTAAACGAGGCGCGAACAAAAGCCTCACACACGAGAAGAAGCGGTGACGTCGCCGCCGCCGCCAAATGTAAATATTGTGAAACGCTCTGGACGTGTTTTCACTGGTCCGGCCCTCTGAAGGTGTGAGTCTGGTCTGAAGGTGTGAGTCTGGTCTGAAGGTGTGAGTCTGGTCTGAAGGTGTGAGTCTGGTCTGAAGGTGTGAGTCTGGTCTGAAGGTGTGAGTCTGGTCTGAAGGTGTGAGTCTGGTCTGAAGGTGTGAGTCTGGTCTGAAGGTGTGAGTCTGGTCTGAAGCTCTGAGTCTGGTCTGAAGGTGCGAGTCTGGTGAAGGTGCGAGTCTGGTCTGAAGGTGCGAGTCTGGTCTGAGTGCGAGTCTGGTCTGAGTCTGGTCTGAGTCTGGTCTGAGTCTGGTCTGAGTCTGTCTGAGTCTGGTCTGAGTCTGGTCTGATGGTGTGGTCTGTCTGAGTCTGGTCTGGTCTGAGTCTGTCTGAGGGTGTGAGTCTGGTCTGAGTCTGGTCTGAGTCTGGTCTGAGGGTGTGAGTCTGGTCTGAGTCTGGTCTGGTCTGAGTCTGGTCTGAGTCTGGTCTGATGGTGCGAGTCTGGTCTGAAGGTGCGAGTCTGGTCTGAAGGTGCGAGTCTGGTCTGAAGGTGCGAGTCTGGTCTGAAGGTGCGAGTCTGGTCTGAAGGTGCGAGTCTGGTCTGAGTCTGGTCTGAGTCTGGTCTGAGTCTGGTCTGAGTCTGGTCTGAGTCTGGTCTGAGTCTGGTCTGATGGTGTGAGTCTGGTCTGAGTCTGGTCTAGTCTGAGTCTGGTCCCTCAAAACAGTGGGAACTACACAGAACATGATCCTTTCATTTCAGTGCCGACACACGACGTTACCCTCAGGTGGGTCACGAGAGATTTTTTATTTTATTTTTTGGGTTGTCTTGTCACGATGTGTCTGTGGGTCTGTGATGTAAAGTTCTACGCACTAGTTTGTTCCAGTATCGCTGGAAATGTTCTACATTTCAAGTCCAAACAGGCGACTTCTGGATCCTTTTATTGCTGCTTCAGAGTTTTTCATTGTTTCAAACTTGAGTTAAACTAAATGTTCAAAGACACGACAAGATCGTTAAGTCACAATAAAATATCCTCAGTCATGTTCAGAAATGAAAAAAATCCATCTTTATTTTGTGGACTTGGGTCGTGAAGGTTTGTGGGTCCCCAGAAAAAAATGTTTGGGAAACACTGATGTAGGACTTGGCGAACAAGAAAAAATATTTAAAATAGGATTTCATAGTAAAGTTCTGAAAAATGTGTGCAGCTTCGGGACGATCGGGAAA